GAGGAACAGGGGACACAGAGAGAGAGAGAGAGAGAGAGAGAGAGAGAGGGAGAGAGAGAGATGCAGTGATGGAGGAATGATTGATTGCAACATAACAGAGGGAGTGCAGAATGAAGGGAGAGAGGGAGTGTCAGGAGGAGGAGAAAAGATGGACAGAATGAGCTATGAAGAGAGACAGATCACCCAGTGTGATCGATTACTGCAGTGACAGTATGTACACCAATGGGGGGGGGGTTGACAAAGAAAGAGAGAGCATGAGAAAAGTAAAGAGAGAAAGTGTGTGTGTGAGAGAGAAACAGATGAAAGATAGAAAGAAAAGGAGAGACAGAGAGAGAAAGAGATGATCAGAGAATGAGAAGAAAGAGTAGGAGTAGTAGGAGACAAGGAGTGAGCTAAAAAGAGAAAAACAAAAAGATGAGAAAAAGACAAAGAGGAAGAAGAGAAAGAGAAAAAGAGAGAAAGAGAGAAAAGAGAAAGTCAGGAAGAAGAGAAAGAGAAAAAAGAGAGAAAGGAAGAAGAGACAGACAGAAAGAGAAAAAAATAGAAAAGAGGAAGAGAACGACAGATTTAGAGAGAATGAAACAGGTAAAGAATGTGAGAGAAAGAGAAAGAGGGGGGGAATTTGTGTACATTTGGTTTTTGGCCAAATCATCACTTTAAAGGATCATACAGTAGTTAGTCGTAAATGTGTAATAAAGTGTGTAATAAATGAATAATAATAATTATATGTCTAATTACTTGTATAAGTGTTTCAGTGAGATTTAAACAGTCCTCACAGTAAACTCTGTGTTAACTTTAAGTAAATCTCACTGCCTTAATATTTCAATGTCAATGAACTTCAAACACTAAGCTAACAGAATGTGAGATGCTGATCACTGATCTATTAACTTACAATTAGCTTCAACTAATATACATTAATATACAATTTTAAGGGGGAAATCCGGGTATTTTTCAAAATTCCCGCATAATTAAATGACTGAGATGTAAACAAAGTCATTCAGTGTGTGATGAAATGCTGCATTCTAGAGAAACTTAAAGTCTGATTTGTTTACAGTGGTGGTGATAGGAACCAGACGTCCACCTCTAAAAGCTCCCTCACAGAAACTTACCATATAAAATGCTAATACACTGCCTGATGCCTGGGACACTGTTTTATGAGAGTTTTAAAATAAGATGTCAAATCCATTCATGGCGGAGAGGTACACACAGGGCGTTGTGAGGCAAAATAGTCCCCGAAAGAAAATGTAACTTTATAGATTTATCACTATTTTACCATCATCATTACATAGAAAAGCTCAGAAGCCTCGTGTGGGGTCACTGGTGGGTAGTAAATGGCTATATTTCCATTGTCGACATGGTGACCCCTGGTTCCTATCACCACCACTGGAAAGAAATCTGAGTCTATTTCTAACCACTTTAAATGACAGTTTGCAGAAAATGTATAAATAAATAAATGCAGAAATTTTGAAAAATTGGTGGCATTCCACTTCAAGGCAGCCAGGTTACTAAAAACAACGAATCTCCTTTTGCACTGTAGACGCTGGACAGCCGTGTAAAACATGCATAACATTTGCTGCCATGCGCTGGATGATGAGCTCAGTAAAACCCCCCGTGTTTACGATCAGCTCCCGAACTCCAGGTGGCTGCTGTGCTCCGTTACTGACCCCCTGACCTCCAGAGTTTGCTCTGCACTGACACAGCAGAGTGTGTGTATGTGTGTGTGTGTGTGTGGTCATAAAGCGAAGTGACTGAATTTAACACACTGTTTCAACACGAACGACTGCTTCCTTTATGTTGTAGTCGGGATTTTTACTTTTATTAAGGCAATAAACCGGCTACCCACAGAAACCACCTTAAAGTGACAATCTGGGCAAAAAGAAAAACATAACCATTGCTTCATCTGTCATGAACATGCCTACTCGCCTCTTACAGCGGCGCCCACTAGTATCTAGAACAAGATATTCCAGTTTAAAGACAGGAAAACACCTTCTGATGATGCGTCTCGAAGGTAGGATAAATGTTTGAGAAGCTACAACTGCTTTGGGGTGGATTTTCGACAGCCAGATATTTGAATTTTTGTTTGTTTGTTTGTTTGTTTTCCACTAACTAGCAAATACAAAGGCTGGCCCAATGGTTCTATGACATATATGTGCAATACATGCTGAGGATTGTAATGAGAGAAAACTAAAACACAAAGAAAGGTACAAAATGTTGCATCAAATCAATGGAGCTGAGGTTGCAATACTACAGAACATGTCAAATCAAACAAGATATTAAATGATAGTTTCAGGCCAGATTCCTACCTTAAATCAATCTGGTAAACATACAGCATCAATGTTGCCAATTTATTTTAAAATATCCCCTTTTTAACAGGTGTTCATACCTGTGTCATTACTGCTGTGGGCCAGACGGCCATGACAGTGCTTTCACTTCTACTCAAGCAGGCTATATTTGTGAGAACGGCCTCTACTTTCTACCAAGTTTCACTTATCCAAATTTCTTTTCTAGGTTCACTTGCGTTCTTTTTCTGTCGGCTTTGCTTTCATGCTTGCATGTCTCATTTTAGAGCTGTAACATTTTATTTTAGACCAAAACAAGAAGAATAGAGCCTGACAAACTTCAGTTCCTATACTGATTTCCACTGGTCTCCATTGAAACACACTGTTAACAGAATGGAGCAGCCAAGGTCACTATGCCCAATGCCAAGTGTCATCTAGAGGGGTATAAAGCCCCCCAGGACCTGACCTCATTAATACTCTCATTAATACTCACAACAATGTTGCAATGCCTTCCCAGAAGAGTAGAGGCTGTTACTGCAGCAAACTCACTATTAATGACATTAGAAGAAACGTTGGAAGAAAAGGTGTCTACAAACCTTTAGACATAGAGGCCCAAATGCAGCCCAAAGAATGCCCAGTGGTGATTCACCACAGGCACTGGCACTTAGTCCATGGCTAGACTTAATCCATGTCTGGGAAACCGGCCCACAGTGTTCTTTTACTCCTGCGTCAGTCATTATTTCATTGTGGTTTTATTTGACGATGAGTGTATGCTGCTCCACGCACTTCTACTTGGCCATCAAGTCAAATTATACCGAACGGTTGCGCTACAGGTGCATAAACAGCGCACTAGAGCGAATCTGTTGCTTCTATTATTGACCCAATTTAGGGCAATTTAAAAAAGGTGGTTTCTGAAATTGTGGCTTAATAAATCCAGTATCAGTGCGAGGATTAGTGGGGTACTTCCCCAGACTGATAGGCAGCCATACATGCAGTGCTGTGGCTGCTTTCCAAGCTTTATACTCACAGAAAGAGACTCCCTGACGCCGTTTCAAAGACTGGGATTTGAAAAAGATGACAAAAAAGCCAGTTCCTACATGTTTAAAGCGGAATTCCAACCAACTTGCATAATTTCTGTTTAATTCGAAACACTGAGACGTAAACAAAGTCACTCAGAGTGGTTTGATGTCAACTGGTTCCTTGTAGAGAACCTTACTGACATCTTTACAGTGGTGGTGATAGGAACCAGGGGTCTTTATTTGTGTCTACAATGCAAATACAGCACTGAAAACTTCGACTTTTACTATCCAAAATGAACCATTATGAGTTTTAAAGGTGTATTTTGGAGCTATTTTGCCTTACAGAACCCTGCATGGATTTTAAAAATAGGCCTATAATGCAAATATAGCATTTTATTTACTATACAAAACAAACCAACTCACGTCTTCTGAGTTTGTCTGTTTTATATGTTGGTAAATTTACTAAAAAAATTCTCCCTGGGTTCTATTTACACGCCCTGCATTGATCTATCTGCCATGAATCCATGAACTGATGTTCATAAATATGTTTCAGGCCAAAACAAATACAACTTCTTAGCCTTCAGGCAGCATATTCATAACCATGGCATGTAATAACTGAAAGGCTGCTTAAAAGGGGAACTCCACCATTTTTTCTAAATTTCTGCATAATAAAATGGTTGAGATGTAAACAAAGTCATTCGGAGTGGTTTGGTGTGAAACGCTCTGTTCTAGAGAAACTTGCCGAGCCAGAATGGTTCACAGTGGTGGTGACAGGAACCAGACGTCCTCTAAAAGCTCCCTCACAGACAGTTATTACATGCAATAGCTACGAAATGCCTGGCACATTGTTTTATGATAGTTCTGGCATAAAGTCTTGGCTTAAAATGTATTCGAATCCATTTATTTGAACTTCTTTTCAGATGTATGATTAATTTACCACCATCAACATTACATATAAAAGCTCAGCAGACACGTGTAGGTTCACTGGTGGTTTTCGATGGTAAATAAAACGGCTACATTTGTGTTGTAGACACTGTGACTGTAAGTTCCTCCACAATGATGCATTTCACGTTAAACCACTATGAATGACTACATTATTCAGATATTTTGAAAAAATTGGTGGGATTCCCCTTTTAACAAGCCAGACGTCTGGTTCCTATCACCGCCACTGTGAAAGATTCTGACTTGGTAAGTGTTGTAGATCGGAGCATTTGACTCCAAACCCCTCCAAATGACTTTGTTTACAGCGTATCGATTTAATTATACGGATATTTTTGAAGAAACGGTGGAATCTTCTTTTTAATCTACAACTAATTTGTCTTCTCAGGCGAAAGCAATCAATCCCAACAACGGGCGGCCGGCCGGCCGGCCAGCCGTCCGAGTCCACCAGAGAACCGACCAACGAGCTCTGGAGCCGGGCAGACAGCCTGACTGAAGCACTTTTATTCTCAAATATATCTATCTGCATTATCCAGCTCTCCGCATGACTGGTTAAAAATAGATGAAGCTGAAGTCAGCTTCTTGTTCGAATTTTGCCGTTCCACCTTAAATGGTGCAGCAGTTACATTCCGGCGACCGAGGCGCCAGAATGTAACTGCTGCACTATTTAAGGTGGAACGAAGAAATTCGAAAAAGAAGCTGGCGAATAGGAAACCAACTTCACCCTCGTTAAAAATAGTTAGCCTGTGTTGTCGTTACTCACCGAAAAGGCAAGCAGGAGTCTTCGGAGTCGTGACACCGGAGCAGAAGCAAAAGTTTTAGTCCCGTTTTAATCCAAACTCCTCGGTGAGTGTGGCGGTACAGTCGAGTTGAGTGCAGGTAGAAATCCAACGGTTTTCCTGCGCAGGACTAACCCTGACTAACCTTTAGACACAGCACTGTAAACTACGATAAAGTCAACTCCTTCTGAAATACAGGCGGGGGGAAACAAGTTTTAACACCCACTCGTCCAACTTGGAAACTGAAAACTATCCCAACAGAGCGAAAACTGATATTATTTTCTGCGTAAACTCCGTAAAATCGTGCGCAGGCTGTGCTGCTCCGCTTATTTCTCAATCAGAGCTCAAGCTTGGAATCTTTTTTTCCCTCTACCAGGTGCTCATTTACATAACGCTCACCGGCCGCGTCCAATCACCGCGTTCTCATGTGAATATTCATTAGGCAGCCCACCAATCGCTGACGGGCATGGGGCGGCGCGAGCGTGCCCTGGCAACGGCTCTGTAAGTGATACTCGACGCTGAGAGAGAGAAAGAGTCATATTTTTTAAAAACATATCAGAGAAACAGTGACGATTACGCCAAATATTATATTTCTGAAAGTGAAACAGCGTCATTTGCCTCTTCAGCTCTTTCTTTTTATTGTGATTAGAGGTGATTTTCACAGAAATGCCTTCATAAGATGTACACAAAGTGATTCCGAGCGGTTTGATGTGAGGTGCTCCAATCTGGTTAATTTACAACTGTTCACAGTGGTGGTGAATGGAACCAGACGTCTAATACGTTTAAAGGGGAATTCCACTGATTTTTCAAAATTCATGCATAATTAAATGGTTGAGATGTAAATAAAGTCATTTAGAGTGATTTGATTTGAAATGCTCTGTTAAAGAGAAAATTACCAAGTTAGAAGAGTTCAGACTGGTGGTGATAGGAACCAGACGTCTGAAGCGTTTAATGCTTCTGCAAGCTACCTCACAAAAAGTTATTACATATGGTTATGAAAATGCTGCCTGATGTCTGGCACATTGTTTTACTAAAGTTTTGAGGGAAGGATTTGGCCTGAAACATATAAATTTTAAAAGCCATTTATGGTGGAGGGGTATATGTAGGGTGTTGTGAGGAAAAATAGTCCCCAAAGAAATTTTTTTCCCAGATTTACCACTTTTACCATGATCAACATCACATATAAAAAAAATCAGAAGACATGTTTAGGTTCATTGGTCAGTTTGGATAGTAAATGGAATGGCATATTTGTGTTGTAGACAATGCGACCCCTGGTTCCTATCACCACCACTGTAAAGAAATCTAAGTTGGCAAGTTTCTCTACAATAAATCCTTTCACATCAAACTACCCCGAATGAGTTTGTTTACATCTCAAAGATTGAATTATACAGAATTTATGAAAAATCTGTGGAATTCCACTTTAATGCTTCTAAAAGCTACCTCGCATAGAGTTATTATACAAAATAGCTCTGAATACACTGCCTGATACGTTGTATAATGACAGGTTTTAGAGAAGGTTTTGGCCTGAAGCATATTTTTTCAAATCCATTCACGGAGGAAGGGTACATACAGGGTGTTGTAAGGCAAAATAGTCCCCAGCAAATATTTTTTTTCACATTTACCACTGTATTAGCAAATAAAATGGGTTAATTTGTGCTGTAGACACTGTGACCCCTGGTTCCCATCACCACCACTGTAAATAGTTGTAATTTGTCTTGAAAAAAAGCACAAATTTTGACATCAAACTGCTCTGAATGATGTTGTTTACATCTCAATGATTGAATTATACAGAAATTTTGAAAAAACGTTTGTGTAAATTTGCAGCAGGCCTTCAAGGTTGCTGCAAATGAGCAAGTTGTCTATAATATATGTTAGCTTAACCTGTTCAGGAGTGACGTTATGTATTTATGCAGTCTTGAGAAAAAAAAAGTAAACCAAAGTGAAGCCTACCTGGAGATTTCGCCTTTGTTGTTAAAGAAAAGGGCGCATTATTATAGAGTGAGCCTCTGTAACTGTATACAATTACCTCCCTGAGGCAGTAAAGACAGTGATTTAGGAGCCTCAGCGCTAACAGATAGCCTTGAGCTTTCAGCAGCAGTCAGAGATGCTAGCGCTTGTGCGGGGGTTTAGCGGAATAGGGGATAAAAGTGGTAATGCTTCAAATGAAGTAAGCCTACACTTGGAGTAGGCCATGTTTCACAAGCCAAAGAGGGGAAAAACAGGGTGTGGCGGCCGCGTGTGGAGGTAAAAGAAGAAAATGATGGACGGAGGGGCAGGTAGAGGGAGAAACAAGGGCCCTGTTTCAATGCTCTTTAAAACATGCCCTCGTCAGCCTCGACTCACCACTTGAAAGTGTGTCACAAGTGTTTATTCGCTGGACGAGGCAGGGCGGTCAGCGAAGAGCAGATTTTTCTGTCAGAAATTAGCCACCTTTGGCTAGGTTTGGCTAGGTTAGCCTCACTGAGCTAATCAGCTAGCCGTGCAGACTTTGTAATGCAGAACGTTTTTTGAGAAGTCTAAACACACAGTTTGTGAATAACTGCTTAGTTTAGCTGTAAGCTTTGCTTGCAGGGGAACTCCACCAATTTTTCAAAATTTCTATATAGTTAAATGGTTGAGATGTAAACAAAGCCATTCAGACTGGTTTGGTGTGAAATGCTCAGTTCTAGAGAAACTTGCCTAAACAACATTTGTTAATGGTGCTGGTGGTGGTGATAGGAACCAGACGTCGAAATACTTTAATGCCTCTAAAAGCAAAGTTGTATGGCAAAATAGTCCCCAAAGAAAACATATTTTTTCAGATATTCCACTATTTCACCATTGTCAACATTACATTCAAAATCTTAAAGGACATATAGGTTCACCGGTGGTTTTGGATGGTAAATAAAATGACTATATTTGTGTTGTAGACATGGGGACCCCTGGTTCCATTCACCACCATTGTAAAGAAATCTGAGTCTGTAAGTTTCTATAGAAAAAGCAATTTTACATTAAAACCACTTTGAATGACTTTGTTTACATCCCAACAAGAGAATCATGCAAAAAAATCTGAACATTTAAATTAACTCATCTTGAAGAATCGTGGTGTTTTGTTGTTGCCAGCTGTAGTTTGTACATTTAACCCATACACAGCAAATCAGTAGTATATTTGAAATATTAAGCTATTTAAAGTAGTTCATTGCTGTGCTAATGAGCTTTGTCATCATTTAAGATTCACTTGGGCTAATATAGTGATGGAATGGCCCATAAGGTGGCATCAGGGATTCCCCTGAGGGGAAATAACAAGGCCAAGTCTACATAGGCTTGTTAAAAGAGCATTAGAACAGGCAGGAGGTGAAAGAAAGAGAGTGTTCATAGGCTATGTGTTGATACTTGCCCAGCTGTTGGAAGGAGAGCGCAAACTGTAGTTGGTAGCCAGGCTGCACCAGAGGAGCCAACAGTTGCTTGCCAACACATACACACCTCTGGCATCAGTCTGAAGTGATTGTGCTTGTGTTTATGCGTTATGTTGGAGACAGTGGTGCACAACCTACAATCTAAAACATGAAAAAATGCCCTGTTGTTGGTTTTAATCCGTTAAAGTTACTAAAGAAATGCATGTAAATCAGTGAAACTGAATTAGTTGTGTTGTTTCAATGAGATTAAGTGAGTTATCAGATTTACTTAGTTAGTGTCTGCTTGGTCAATGCAATATTGTTGAGTAAAACTCTTTCCCATTGGCTCCTGATACCATCGATTTGCATGTTCATTTTTGCTTGTTTTACTCACCCTTGTCGTGTTGCGTGGAACCACTTGACATAACATCTTTAAGTAAATCTGACATTTTATTTTTGAGTAATACATAAAAATAAGTGCTTACTTGAAAAATTAGGTTGAATCTATGTGTAAAATCTATTTTTTATGCAAATTAAGATTAAAATTAAGTAGTTTATGCAAAGGCTAGTCTTGCTTGAGCTACTCTTAAAAAACATGGTTCTTCAAGGGTTCTTTAGTAAAGAACCATGAGCACTTAAAGAACCCTCAGCATGATTAAAGGGTACTTTGCATAGTGAAAAAGTTCCTCAGATTGATGGAGAATGTGCTGTAGATGGTTCTATATAGCACTCAAACAGGTTCTTCTATTGTTATGGTGTCAAGCTTGTAACAATAGAAGAACCCTTGTTGGTGCTATATAGAACACTCTATAGCACATTCATGAACATTTTCCATCAATATGAAGAACCCTTTCATGAAGCAAAGAACCCTTTAATCAAGTAAAGGGTTCTTTGAGTGTTCATTGTTCTGTATAAAACTATTTTTTTTACTAAAGAACCCTTGAAGCACCATCTTTTTACATAATCTGATGCAAAAAGTTGCCTTAATTTTTTTGAGCGTAATATTTTTTATCAGTGTAATGTGGGTAAAATATAATTTTATTATTGTAATTTTGTTATTTTATGCTAATCAAGTTTAAGTAGAATGTCAAGTCAGCAATCGGACAGATATTTCTCAAGATTCACTCTGAAGACTGTTTTTACAACATAAAAGTTTACTGGATTGTGTGTGTAAATCACAGAATTTGCATTATTTTAATCCCCCGCTTGGTGGCTTTAACAGCACCATTTTGAAGCATGTAAATAACTTACATGTTTGCATGCATTTTGCCGATTAACTACATTCCGAATTAAGACTGAGGTGTTTATCTGCTCACTCTACTCAACAATCTGATGGAAAATCTCCATTTATATGCACAAGTAATCCAACCCAAAAGTATGGCTTCATGTAGACGTTACCATGACAACGAGCATCACGTGAGTCCAGTCAGAGTGAGATGAGCAGCAGTGAGCAGTGCTTGTGTTTTAATTGCTTTACAATGATGTCAGACTCAGGAAAACGTCTTTCACATGTCCTTATTAAAGAAGGCCGAGAGGAAGACGTCGTGTTCTGAGACACATAAGCTGGACGTCCGTTCCACTGCCGTCTTTTAAAGATCAGAGCATAAACTTCGTCTCCTCTGCAGACCAGTTTCTGCTCCGCCATGTTGAACGGTATAAACTTTCACTATGACGCGACGAACATGATCAGAACGGACTTAAACTTTCCGATAGGGAATGTAATCAGATACAGGCATTTACACAATTATTATTCTCCTATTTAACAGATTATTTACAGGATTACCCACCTCGATCAGTCTGATAGGAATTGCCTTGCGAATGGCCTCAATCAGACTAGACTATTCTGATTGAGGTGTTTACAAGGACGTATTCTATTCCAATTAAGCTAATTATTAACAAATTATCGGGCTGCATGTAAACATGGCTAGTGGGTGCTAGCCATGCTAAAGTCTCCATGCTAATGCCTACCCATGATTGGGTTAGTTGT